AGCATCACCTTTCTGATAGGCCAGAAATGGTTTAACTTCCAGCCAGAAAGAGCATCTCTGCTGCTTTTGGCCTTTATTTCTTCAGATCTTCCTAGCACAGAAGTAACTGTAGCATAATTGAAGGAACTGCTTAAAGCTGTCTGAATTACTGCAGCCCTTCACATGTCGGATGCAGGATTTCCCAGACTCTCTGCAGGGCAGACAACTTGTAGACCTGTTCTGTGAGCGGGTCACACGCTTGGTTCCTGAACAAGCTCCTCTCTGTTAGAACATCCTACAAAAGTGCTCGCAGCTGCTTTGTGCTGCTCTGACCTCCTCTACATAGCATGTAAGCTTCTTGAGCCTGAAATACAAAGAAAAGAGTGTCATTTTGTGGTGGATGGTTACTAACACTGCAGTAAAGCAAAAGCATGCCTTTAGATGTCATTCTATGAAGGATGTGATGATAATGCTGTATTATGTGGAGGCCACCTTGTGGCATTATGGAAGTCAAACCCAGATGTAAAGTAACAACAGCATTTAGACTGCATACCAAGAAATAAGGATTCTAAACTGCTTATATTTTTAGAACACAAACATCACACTAGTGTGTCATTCTAGCCTCATGTGAATGATTACAGGTGCTGTCCATACAGGTAACAACACAGGAATCTGAGGATGTGTGTAGCACCATTCTGTGAGTCATAGCTCCTTACCTAGTCAGCTTGATGAAGGCTTCAATTATTAAACCTACTGCTTGCATGGTTAATGCATAATTGGTGCTTAACAGACATTTAGGGAAAAATTTTTACAGAGAACAGGAGCAGATAAGGAGTGCAGTCAAAGTATTGTAAAACTGACTTCCAGGTTACTATCATGTTACATATTTATTCTGCTTGCGTGAGGAAGTCTGTAAATTTTTACAGCAGAAAAGTTGTGCTCCTTTTCCCTGCACTTAATCTATTAAATTTCCTCCACCAAAGAATGGATTTTAAATTAGTAAATATAAGTTCAGCTGCAACCAGACAAAACTGGCTATCATCTTACAATCTCAATGTTAGCATTTGCTATCTCTTAGGATAAGTGTGCCAAAGTAGAGTATCCTGTTCATGGTTTTGGAGAAATACAAGGTGAAAACAATTCATTCCTGAAAAACAAAAATAGTCCTGAAGAAGTTTGTCTTGTCAGCTTGAGGTGAAAGCAAGCAAGGGAGAAGGGGAATGTTATCTCTCTGAGACAGGAAAGTCCTCAATCCTACACGCTGACTCCATGCTGTGGGGGTGGATGTGTTGGAGATACAGGAATTATTCTGACAACTGCAGAGTTTGCAGGGGATTAAGAGATTTTCTGCCCCAATCATTTAGATTGCCAAAGACATTTTAGGTCATCAAGTCCAACCAGTAACCTGACACTGCCAAGTCCACCACTAAACTGTATCCTTAAGCATCATATCTCTGTGTCATTTAAATACTTCCAGGAATGGGGACTTCAGCACTTCCCTGAGCAGCCTGTTCCCATGCTTGACAATGCTTTTGATTAAGATTTTTTTCCTAATGTCTTACCTAAATCTCCCCTGGTGCAATTTGAGGCAATTTCCTCCTGTCACTTGTTACTTGGTTGAAGAGGCTGATCCCCACATTGCTGGAACTTCTTTTCAGGTAGTTTTAGAGAACAGTAAGGTCCCCCCCTCGCCTCCTTTCCTCCAGGCTAAAAAAACCCAGCTGCCCCAGCTGCTTCTTAGGAGACTTGTGATCCAGACCTTTCTTCAGCTTCATTGCCATTCTTTGAATGGCAATCTGTTTGAAGCAGACTGGGATCTGGAGCAACTGAAGATGGCCTCTGCGCTTTCTGCCCTATGTCAGAGACCCTCTCAGGGCATCTTATATTCAAGAGAACAAGAAGACTGTTCTATTGCTGAACTCAGGCTGCAATCCTGACTTTTCTATTGTGTAGCACAGTAAATTGCCAGTAGATGGCACACCACAATAATTTTTTTTTTTTTCCCAAATGTTGCTGAAAGTAATATGCAGCACAATTTTTGTTAATATTGTGTTTAATCATAATAAAGCTCCTTGGGTAGGAGAGAGCACAGTAAATGAGTTACCTGGCTGTGGCCTTTCACAGTACCTTTATGCTGAACTCTTCCATCTATCATCAGTTTGTGTATTCTCATAAATCTGCTCACTTGGCTGGGCATTTTGATTTCTTCTCACCTCTAATTAGATTATCAAAAAACAAGTAGGATGTATCTATGAGGACTCCGATGCACATGTAGTTCTTATTTATTCTTCGTGTCAGCGAGGATTGTATTTTTGCTTCTACCAAACATTTGCGAACCAGCATTACTCATCTGGTGTGCTGAGTGTTATTATCTGTGTATCTATATCAGGAGACTGACTCAAAGATTATGGGAAGATTAGAGGCAGATGGCTGAAGGTGCTCCCTGCTTGTCTGGTCAAAGTCAACACCTCTGTATATTCAGCCACAAAACAGATTTTGGATTGCTGCTGTTTGTGGTCCAACATCTGTCTGGTATATTACAGTAAACCAATATCAATGACAAATCACCTTCATTTTCCAAAGCAAATACTTAAATACTAGCCTACAATACTACTTCTCTTTTATGGAAAGAGTTTTCAGAGCAATTACAATGAAACATTCAAAGGTAAATTAAATGCTTTACTAATGGTGACCTGTAAGCAAAAGACATGTAGCAAGTTTTGCTAGCATTCTGACTGTGAAAAGGATTCATCAAAATAAGTTCTACATTTTTTTGCAAACTTCTTTTATCCTTAGGAGATTAAAAAACTCTTTTACTACTTAAGAGTATCCAAGAGTACTCCAAACCACTTAATTCTCTGTAAACAGCAGTGATGATGTTGGATTCTGATGAAGCATTCAGAGGGATTTAATAGGTTTCCTCTGCTTTTTCAGTTTGTCTGTGAAACCCAAGGTGACAAGAATCTGGAGACAGAGATTTCAGTGTTAACAGTATGATGGCATTACATTAATCTAGGCCTTCTCTTTGTCAATCCATTAGGGACTATCAGCTCTCACCCATCTGGCTGACAGTTCTGTAGCGTTAGTGACAGCTGGTTGAAGGAACTCAGACAAAACCAAAAATTTGCTTCTAAGAAGGGTAGAACTTTTAAGAAACTTGCAATTTTCTATGTAGCTGCCACTCAAGGAGTGAATCCATCAATGTAAAGACAACTACAAAACATGGAGGTCATTCTTGACTGCATTTTCAAGTTCATAGAATTGTTTGGTTGTTTCCATTGAACTGAAACGGTTACTTGGCAGTTTTATCTGTCTTTTGATGAGAGATTCACTTGCAATCAAGCTGCAGAAACAACTTTACTAATAGTAAAATTCCTTCCAGAATAAAAACAGGTAGCATCTCCCAGCTGATATACTAATTACTTTGATAAATATATATCTGGATGTTTTTATGTCTTTGTTTCCATTTGTACTACTGTAATTCTGGGATATGTTCTTTTCATCTAGAAGACAAACACCCACAGCACAATATCAAAACTCACAAAATAGCACTGTGCAATCCACTCAAGCTGCTGTCATAGCTAGTCTTAACCAGAAAAAGGCAGTAGGCAGCCAAATTAATTTTTTACTCAGTTGTGTACACTTAAAAATACGGTAGCTGAATATATCTTTCTGTATGAGAAAGAACTTTTAATACGTAAAGAAGTTACATGGTGAGAGGACAAGAGACTACTAACCTAACACTGAAAAGGGTGCATGTCAGTGCAACTATTGGATAAGGCAAGATGCTGTTTAATTAACTTCTCAATTTGTTAACAGGATATATATATATATAGAGAGAGAGAGAGAGAGGGAGAGAGAGAGAAGCTTCTTGGATTAGATTATGAAAGAAAAATAGGGGGGGGTCTTTTTCTTTAGGTTTTCCAAGGATTTAAACCAAGAAAGTGTATTATGTAGGTTATAAAAACACATTATTAGGATAAGGAAATCCTTAAAACTGGAGGGCATGGTCATGCATACTGTGGTCTAACAGTATCCTAATACAGTTTCTTGAGGATATTTTTTCTTTAAAAAGTGAGCATTTTTATATTAACTGCATGATATGTCACTATGAAGATGATGTCTGTCTGTGGTGTTGTACTGGAAAGAGTGTTATCAGTAGCTTTAACATAAATTCTTCTTAGTGGTTTTATTGGTAAGTATTTCTAACACAGTTTTGGCATTCTTGGGTTTCCACCCCAAAACTGCTGGAGCTTACATAACACAAGAGCCTCACAGATCATATGTCTTCCTGGTTTTCTCCAAAGCAGAGACAGCTCAAAGATATTAACAGACGAATAATTCACAACATCCCACTGATATGACACATGCTTTTTAAATCATGCCTGGTATAATGTAGTATTTTTATTATCAGCTGATGACCAGGTTAACCTTGTTTAATGATAGTCTTTTCCACACGTTCAGTGATTAACCCTGACACAAATAAGTAGAAGGAAGCAAGTGTGACCACAATGTGACAATGAATACATATGACATAACAGGACGTGCTTTGTAAAGGGAAATTAGGGGGCAGGGAAGGTATTACAGCCTTCGTGGTTTCTCTCGTAAGTCTGTGCCTACCTACTGTTACTAAGTTACACATTTTCATTCTAACTAATCATTCAAACTGCAGGATTATAAATCATTTTAAAAGATGACGCTTTAGGCCAATTTTAATCTTTTGTAAGATTTTTTTTGTTACTTTTCCCCCCCTAGAAAATTTTATTAGTCTTTTCAAGATAACTATTAAGATTTCAAACTACAATGCCTTAAATATATCCATTACCAAGGAAGATACATGTGCTTCTTACACATCTATTTTCTTCAGGTTCACATTTCTGTCATTCCACGTTTTAAGTGGCATCTTCTCCTTTGTTTTCACTCACAAACCGGACCACGAGTGAGCACTCCCAGCCGCTCCCACACGCGCCCCTGAGCTGTACAAGGTGTACGGGCAGTCCCGGGGGCGGGGCCATCGCGTGCGCGGCGGCGCAGGCGCGGGGCTGCGGCGCGCGGCGATGGCGGCGCGGGCCGGGAGTCTGTGGCTTTTGCTGCTCTGGCTCTCGGCGGCGCCGCTGCTCCGCGGCGCCCGCGGGTCGGAGCCCGTCGGGCCGGCAGAGCCGTCGGGCGGCGCGGGCCCCGGGGAGCGGTTTAAGATCGAGGGCCGGGCCGTGGTGCCCGGGGTGAAGCCGCAGGACTGGATCGCGGGGGCCCGGGTGCTGGTGGACGGGGAGGAGCACGTCGGCTTCCTGAAGTGAGCGGCGGGCGGAGCGAAGCGGGGCGGGGCGGGGGCTCGGGCACCGCGGGGCGGCGGGCGGCCCTGCCCGGGCGGGAGCCGGCGTCTCCGGGGCCGTAGGGCCCGCTCGCAGGCCCGGCCCGGCCCTGAGATGGCGGGCGTCGGGAGCGGCTCCTGCAGGGCTCGGCCGTGTCTCGGTCAGCCGCGCACGGCTGCGGCTCCGGGGCGTGGCAGAATCCCGAGCTGAGCTGCTGGCGGTACTGTGAACACTGGGCCCCTGCCTTGTAATGCGCTGGGCACGGCCTGCCGTGCCTTGCCTTCGGTTTTGGCCTCGGCCTCCAGCAGACGTATCCAAACTGATGACTCCGGTTGCTGGACAAAAACTTCAGAACGGAGTTCTAGTTTAAGAAAAAACAACAAACAAACCAACAGCCAAAACAGAAGCCCCAAACGCGTTTGCACTGTCTGGAGGACCTTGTTTATTCTCAGCTTCATTTGTAAATTCTGCCGCTTCTTATTTAAGAACCTTACCTTGGCTAAGAATTTACTCGGTGTGGAGATATGTTCGTTCATGGCAGAAGTTAGAGTTGCAGCTCTGTGAAAAACTCTTAACTGTACTGGTGAAAGCTAATTTAGGGGACTTTGCTTTATTCCATCGCACAGCATCATGCAAATGTAGCTGAAAGCTGTAAAGAATCATAATCTTATTCAGACTTGGGTGGTACTGGATATATTAAGATATGCTAAAGATCTAGAAAATCTTAAGACATAGAAAATATCTTCAGAATTAAGACCTGATATCATAATTTCAAGAGTAGACAAAATTCTAAATTCTTCGTGATTTTGAATACAGTACAATACATTGTTTTTAAAATATGTATAAAAATGAGATTATGTGGAATTAACATATACCCTTATAAATATTCATAATTTTTAATTAATCCCTGTGCAGTAGTAGTTAACTTTGACTTTGGGTTCCATCAATAGAGTAGCAGAACAGATTCTACTCTGCAGATCTTGTAGAATCTCGACAGTGTAGCATCTGCTAAGCCACTACAAACAAGTTATGAGAACCTGACATTATGTTTGGGAGCTGATTTAATATCTGCTGTCTGGTTGGCAAATTTCTAAATACTTAATTGAAACTCTGAATTTCTCCAGTACTATAAGGAATGAAAAATAAAAAGGAAATTTTCAGGGAAACATTGTTACAGCAGTTTCAGGTGGGTGGGTCCTTAAGTTAAAGATGTGGTGTGAAGTACGTAATGAGAAATTCTTTGGGAATTCACTTTTAAAGGGCTCATTTATTTGTCTTTCTGGTGCATATTACTAATTTGTTAGGATTTATTACACTTTTTGCCCTTTGAATAAATTTTTGTATTTGTATTAACTTTGAATCCTATTTTTAGGAAAAAGATTTTTGATGTTGCTCTTAACAGGGTAGATAGCACTAGGTTTTTATTACTGGAGATTTCTGGAAACACATAGGTGGAAAAGTTCTGTACCTTTAAGGCAACTAACGCTGAAGCTTTCAAGCAACCTTTTACTAATATTTTCATCAAATATTCAAGTTTCATATTTTAAAATAAAAGCCACTTGTGTAAAAATCCCTTCTGTGTGTATGTTCAGAGCTCTTAGTTTCCTTATTGCTGTGATTGAGCTTTCCAGTGTGGGCTGGTCCTAAAGGGAGCAATTAGAAGTAAAAACCGCTATTTCACAACAAAGGCTCAAATTGTTATTTTTGTGCATTGCAAACTGTCCCTTATACCCACTCACACTATGTAGAACGTCAGTCTGGAGGGTTTGCTTTCAGCAGAAGCACTGAAGCAAGGTAAACTTCACTGTATGCATTTCAAAAGGAGGAAGGAAGGTGTAAATTGCTTCTGTCATCACTTGAATACATGAAATATAACTTATTTCAGATCTTATTTGGACTTAAATTATTCCTCCAGCAGGACAACACCTTGAGGGCACAGCAAAATCTTTAACCTAACAGGGAATTTTCACTTCTATTGCAGCATGTGTTGATGAACTTAAGGGGCTTGATATTGTGAATAATGACTGATTTAAATTTTCCTTTTGTGTCATTGTGGTTATATTAAGATTTGTAATATAAAATGATACAGCTTCCTTTAAAAAAAAATACCAACAGAACACCCTGTCTTATATTCTGGACCATACTGAAATGTCACGGAACTTACTGGTTTTTTCAGGACAGATGGAAGTTTTGTGGTTCATGATGTACCTTCAGGATCTTACGTAGTGGAAGTTATATCCCCCGCTCATAAATTTGATCCCGTGCGAGTTGACATAACTTCAAAAGGCAAAATGAGGTGAGTCTTTTCTGATTTACCACTGTATTGATGAATTACATGACAGCACAGTGTAAGAACTCACAGAAGCTGTGCTGCAGGTCTGATGTTCTGTCTCAGACTGTGTCAGCTTTTAGCATCACTTCTAGAAGCACATTTCTCAGATTCCAAAGTCTGATATCTTTCTTCCTTTCATATTTATGACCCAAAATAAGAGAAAAGAGACTTTAAAAGTTCATCTATTTGTTTGCTTTTATTATTTTTTATGCAGCTATCCTGAAATAAAATCTAGGAATAAACTAGTTCACTGCTTTATTATTTGTCAACACTTTTTTTTCCCCCGTCTTCTCTTTTCCATTTCTTTAATAAATGTACTATCAGTACTTGGCACAACAAAATTTTTAAATATTTCTGTTGCACCCCCATAGGACAGTTGTTACAGTTACTGGTTAATTAATACTAACAGTTGCCAGTTTGCATTATTTCTGTAGAATTGTTGGCTTGTTTTCATGTTGTGGCCAAACCACTCTTGACTGTAACTGCAGACTATTCAGTAATACAGAAAAATCTATCAAGGTGATTTTCATTTAAATGAAAATGCTCGTAGTTAATTTTTCCTTATTCAAGCCCACACATCGCATCTTAACTTTTAGGAATACAGTCATCAGTGTAAATACTCCTGCAGTATATTTAGGGGAGGTTAAAAAATTGAAATCTCACTGAAAACAGTGCAAACAGTCTGGTTATAATAATAATTAATATAATAATATTATAATATGATTATAATATGTAATTGCAGTCATATTATAATAATGTTTGAGCTTATAATAAGACCAGACAGTTTATTTGAGCTTAGGGTTTTCCAAACTCTATGGAATTATTTTTTTTTTATAGTTTGTTAGTATCTTACTGGCAATAATTAATATGTAACAAATACAGAGATATAAGCTAAATATTTGGCATAGCCTCACGCTTAGCACTGTTTGTGTATCTAAGGGACTGGTAAGGTAACAAATTTGATGTAGAGTAAATTGCTGGGATACATGTGCAGAGGAAAGTAGCAGGAGGCTTGGCATCTCTACCAGTCCAGCAGATAGAAACTATAATGAGGAATGCAGGTGAGGAGTCAGAGATGCATGAAAAACGATGATACTTGGGGAAAATGTCGACAGGGCTTTTCTAAGGGATGTGCTGCATTAAAAAATTATGGTAATAACTAGAAAGAGGAAACAGCATGTGGATAACAGATGTATTTGATAAGATCTACTTGAAAATACCAAGTTTTGAAGAAAACACGTAGTCATAAGGTAGGAGGGAAGGACATTCCATAGAGGAGTATTTGGTGAAAAAAATCACAAGGAATAAATTATTTATGGAGAGAAGTCATCCCTGGAGTTGCACAAAGTGGATAAATATTCATCATGAAAAATGGGTCAAGACTGACAAAGATGTTGGTACTGAGTAATTGTCTAAATCTTAGGCCCAAATGAAGAATACTAGTGATAAACTGTGGAAAAATCTTATGAAGTAATAAAGACTGAGATTCAGTATTGATAAATGCAGACTAATGCAGTTACGGAAAAGGTATCAACTTCTCAAGTAGGTGATGTCCTGAGAAAACTGGTTAAACTACACTACACTGTTCAAAGCTGGCCCCTAAACAGCATAGTTTTTCTTGCTTGTTTACAAGGTGACAAAAAATGGTTTGCTTTTGATTCCATAAAATATGCTGCTGAGAGAAATCAGCTTTTCAAAAGTGAAGCCTAGCAGACACTGCATATCAAATGGTTTTGTTTGTAGTCTTTTATTGAAATTTGTTTGGATTTTTAAAAAGATTCTATGTTTATATCCTCAATTATTTACATTTTGCTTAATAGAGCAAGATATGTGAATTACATCAAACCCTCTGAAGTTGTCAGGCTGCCATACCCACTCCAGATGAAATCTTCTGGACCACCTTCATACTTTATAAAGAGAGAATCTTGGGGATGGACAGATTTTCTCATGAACCCTATGGTATGTACAGGCAATTATTACAAGAATGCTAAGGATTTGTCAAATAGATACAGCTATTTGTCAGAATGCCAAGAATAAAACAATTGAGAAAAAACATGCATTTTTCCTTTGCTCTTCTGAGAGGATTGCTTTCCTGGATTTTACTTGCTTACAAATGGGAAGTTTTTCTTTGACATCTCCTCCCCTGTATACCACTGTTAATGTATGTCCTCTGAAAATAGACTATAGTCTCTTCCTTTGACAATGTGATGCTGTTCTAGTAGTACAGAGATCAACATATTGCAAAATTGTCATTACAACAGGTATAAGAGAGAATAACCATTTGCCTTACTGGTCCAACTTTGAAAACTTGTTTGAAGCACAATACTCCCTTTAGCAGGTTTCATTCCTGACAAGTGTTGCTGTCTTACTGATTCAGAATGCAGTAGTTCTAGAGTTTGGCTGTTTAGTAGAGCTTCATTTTATTTTAGTAGGTCTAAAAGTGTTTAGAGCAACAACTAAGCTGAAGAGGTTGTTCCCTGTTTTCTCTGTAGGTGATGATGATGGTTCTTCCATTACTGATATTTGTGCTTTTGCCTAAAGTTGTCAACACCAGTGATCCTGATATGAGGCGGGTAAGTGCATTCAATTGATGCATATGGAGAGACCAAAGATAATGAGATTTCAGGGCACACAAATCTAATAAAAACAAAACTGTACTTTAAAGGAAGACTTAATAGGCATCATTTATTCAGCTAATAACAGTGTTGCTGTTTTAGCAATGAGTCATTTAATAAGTATCAAGTGTGTTGAGGAGAGTGTGATGTGGGGTTTATTTGCACTTCAGCCTAAACCACAGTTTTCTACACTGTGAAATCCAGATGTCGCACTAGTATATATGCATATGGAGTCTTAATGTCATCATTAAATGATCTGATTTATTGTCCTTTCATCATGCAACATACTGAATAGCAGAAGGCTAGGACAAAATGGAGATTCAAGGTGTTTGCTAAATCTTTATATCTTTTAAATACTTACTTAAACAAGTATTATTTGCCTGTCATAGGTGTCTGCTTTTTGAAGGCTTGGTTAACTAAAAACTCCTTTTTGTGTAAATGACCAATATCTTCAGTAGTACTTTATAGGTGTCTGAGTATTTTTTTTAATAAGTAAGAACCTTTAAAAAGCATATTAGAGCTGTATAATGCTCTTTTGGCTATAATTTTAATTAAAAAACAGGTACAAAGATATGCTAGGTATTCATGGCATGTTCTTCAAACCAAGCTGAACTCTGGAAGTAGAATTTTAAAAAAAGATAATCACATATTCCTTACTTTTTTCACTGATCTTACGCTGCTGATAGGCTGTTCTGATGGTAAAACCATCAAAGCTTCTGATAATTTAGTTCTTATTAGATAACTGATATAACTTCTTAAGGAGAAATTTTTAAGTTGGAAGAATTTTGCTTATAATTTATCTTTAAAAATTAGGAAAAAGTTATCTATAAGAACTAAATTACAATGGCATTCTCTAGGTGACCATGTATTAAATTGTTAACTTACGGAGGTTGTATGATGTTTTTCAAATTAACTTGTTATTTCTTTCTGGAATCAGCACAGTACTAGTTTATATAGAAAGTTTAATGATTTAGTAACTGTGCTTGTTGTAGAGGTGTAGTGTAGATGTAGTAGCAACAAAGACTACTAAAATGCCTTGTAAGCACTTAAAGATCTAATATTCTGAATGGGAGAAGAACAAGGTGACAATCCCACGTGAAACTCACTATTGCTATAAGCATTATCCCTTTGTGGATGTGCAGTTCAGCTGTTGTATGCATTAAAAGTACTTCAAAATTGGTTTATTTCAAAATGTGCTAATTCATTTTATAGAACCACTGTGCTAAACCCTAAAGTTACATTAAGCTTACCTGGATATATGGTCTTATATTAAAAGCCTTTTTTCCCTGAAGGAATGAAAACTCAGCTGCAGTACTCTAGTAGCTTGGTGTCAGAAAGTAGGGCAATAAAAATATCTAATCCCTTCAAACAGCATCAAAAATTTGTTAATTTGCTATAAATAATACTAATTTTAAAAACAAAACAAAAAGTGTGACATCTATGAGAACACGGATCTGAATATCTAAACAATAGCCTAAATTTTAATACGGAGAAAAGTAGTGCTGAAAAGAAATAATTTTTATCTTTTAGATTTATTTTTTTTTTTATCAGATGGTTGCCCTGCAAGACTGCTTAAGACATGGTTACCATTTTCCATACACTGCAGCTTTTAGTTTTGGGGTTTTATGTTTCTGTGTGTTTGTAGCTGGATGTTGGGCTGTAGTTGCATAAAACTATGTAGCTATATGTATCCTGGAGGACTACAAAAAGTAAAACAATATTTGGGAAAATTTGGTATCTCTCTCATACAGTCTTTCAACTGATGCCTTAGATACAGCCAGAATTGCTACAAGCTATTAAGATTATCTGATCTTTGCATGCAGGAAATGGAGCAGTCAATGAACATGCTGAATTCCAACCATGAGCTGCCAGATGTGTCTGAATTCATGACAAGACTTTTCTCTTCAAAATCTTCCAGCAAGTCTGGTGGTAGCAGCAGTAAAGCAGGGAAAAGTAGTTCTGGAAAAAGGAGGTAGTTAAGTTTTCCTCCTAAGTCTGAATTTGCATAGCTGTTTGTTACCATGTGGTGTCATGTTTATTTGTCTTGGAAGATCAAAAAGCCACTACTGTAAACTTTAACCAGGCACAACAACATATGTTATGATACAAGTGTGGTTTGTAGCTTTTTTTAGACTGTATAAGCTGTTTTGTACTTGACAGTAAGCAAAAGATGACATGGCATGTATCTGTATAAAGTTATTGATGACATTGAATTAACTATATTGTTCTGTAGAGAATTAAAATAAATTATACAATGTGCTTCACAGTAATAAATATCTCAAGACAATGTATAAAAAAATTTCAAAGATAATAGAAGTGGAGTTCAGTTTTAAGATGTCTTTAATGTTTTGCACTTGTTGAGTTCCAAAATGAACAAAATCATCCTTTCAAAATGGAGTTGTGAGTTCACTGGGTAAGTAATTTGCTGTATCATCTTGTCACATGTTACATATAAAATCATTTTATTTTATGCTGTTTGCTGTCTGTACAATTTACAGAATCACAGAGTGGGTAAGGTTGGAAGGGACCAATGGGTCCTCTGGTCCGATCTTCCAGTCAGGGTCATCCCAGAGCACACGGCACAGGACTGCATCCAGATGGTTCTTGGATATCTTCAGTAAGGGAGTCTCCACAACCTCTCTGGGCAATCTTTAGTTCAAAGATTTTCCACTATATATTGTCCAGTTTTACTCTGATCTACTTTCGGCTAAAAACTCTTCAGGAGGAAAGAAAGCCAAGTATCTTGCATGAGGAAGTAATTTAAACTGCCAAGATCTTGAATCTTTTCTAAATTGCATGTATCACTTCTGTGACACTGAGGGTTCTTATGCGTTCTGCGCTTTCAGCTTACCAGTGGAATTATTTGAGGCCACATACTGAATTTTAAATGAAGTTCAAATTAACTAATTTTAAAATGAAAGAAAAGAGCTTAAGGTGTATTAGGAAGCTAAATTATTTTTCATCTTATAAATTATGTTCCAAAGTATATGGCTTTCAAGGAATGCTAAGTCACTGGCAGAAATTTGTTGAGCATGCCTGTATATCTTATACAGGATCTATTCAAGCTACCCAGAGAAAAGTTGAAAAAACTGATTGCTTTTCACTAGTTGAACATTTACAAATTAAAATGACAGCAGACCTGCCAAACACTATTAGCAACAGTCCATAATTTTATTTTATTTTTGTCATAAATGCTGTTCTTCATCTTTACAGTTGGTAATTTCTTAGGTAACAGTGTTATGCAGTATAGATAATGTGTATCTGCTTCCAGAAATGGTATTTAACATCCACTTACAGTACACCTGAAGCAAAATCAATTCTAATGCATGTATTTGTAGCAGAAGTGGGCTATAAATTTTCTTATAATACATATTTATAAGTTATGCTGGGGTACATAAAAGTTGCAAGAGACTAAATATTCATTCATAAGATTAAGTCTATTTTTAAGGTGTTGAAGAAGAAATAACCCAATATTTTCTGTGGACAATGAAAGATTTCACTCTGCAAAGTAAGCTGCACATTTTTGCTCTCTTTTTGTTTTGTTTGAATGGTCTTTCTGTTCCACACAGCAAGGAAAATATTTTCAGTGGAGACAAGAAAATATTTTGATACTCTTACTGGAAGGATCTACTGAAATAAATGTCAAGTTGCATTGGTGAAGAAAAAAAAAGCAAACTTAAAAAAAAAAACCTCTTTCAGAAGTATCTTATGAAAAAAATATGTGAAAAACAGAAAGGAATTCTTTGAAGATGGAGCAATTAGCACTGTTACTGTGCTATCCTGGAAAGTACAAGCCATGAGTTACTTTTTTTTAACAGTAATTGAAATAACAATTGAATCGCATTAGCTTATCATACTGATACATTTTTCCATGTTAGGAACATTGTAAAATTCCAAAGGTAGGAACTAATGAAAAATTCCAAAGGTAGGAACTAGTATTTATGCCTTCTTTCATGGTGTCTGTTCACGTTCTTGATTTGTCTTCTGGGGAGAATGGAGAATTCAGGCCATGAAAAGGTGAAAGTCTTTGTTAAGAGCTCAGAGTGAAAAAGTTCACAGGAATTGTAAAGTTCATAGTAAAACTTTGGAATGAACATATGGAATATTCAACACTTCTCTTTTTCTTAGGACTTCATATATAAAGATTGAGGCAGTTCCTTTGTGCATCAGGATCAGATGCAGTGTCCTGCTTTCAGAAAAATCCAAGTCCAAAAATCTTGTACATTATTCAACTCCTTTTCAGACACCTATGTGATAAAAGCAGTTTGTAGAAGTGTGTTAGTCTGCTGCTGAACTACTGGAAGTTACAAATTTTTTTCATTTTAGAGTGGAACCTGTGTGTCAAGTGAGCAAAGAGGTTCTAGCCAGAGTGCCTTGGTCACTTAAGGTCAGTTGGTCATTGTTGTAGTTTAACCTAAGGCAGTAGCCCAGCCCCACACAGCTTCTCACTCTTCCCCCGGTGGGGTGGGGAAGCGAGTCAGAAGGGTAAAAGAACATTTGTAAGTTGAGATAAAGGCAGTTTAATAGGGAAAGCAAAATCTGCAGACACAAAGCAAAACAGAATTCACAACTTTCCATGTTGTTTGCCAGGAGTTCAGACATCCTCAGGACAACAGGGCTCCAGCGCACCTAATGCGTGCTTGGGAAAACAAAGCCATTACTCCAAATATTACACTCTTCTTCCTCCCACTTTGTAGGCTTAGCATGATGCCATATGATCTGGAATATTCCTTTAGTCATTTGAGGTTGGCTGTCATGGCTGTGTCACATCCCAACTGTTTGTGCACCCCCAGGCCCCTTGCTGGTGGGGTGGGGGGAGGAGCAGAAAAGGCCTTGGCTCTGTGGGAAGACTCTGCATCAGTAATGAAAATGTCTCTGGGTTATCAACACTGTTTCCAGCAAAAGTCCTTAGCATGGCCCCACACCAGCCACTGTGAAAGCTGTAACTACCACAGTCACAACCAGCGTAGTCAATTAAAGGTGTAATGTGACCTTGGGCTATCATAAATGCTGCTAGGCAAAACTTACTTGATCCTGTAGCAGTTATAATGCAAGGTTCAATTTCTGCAGAAAATAAATGTTTGCTGTAGTTCAGTTTTATTTCCTTACTTAAAGATTTTTAGGAGTCTTCTGTGTTAAGTCTGGCATCCCCATTTTCAAAAATAAACAAGAACTGCCTTTTAGTGAGGTTTCTTGAGATAACATAAGGCAGACTGTGAATTGAAACAACTGATTCCTCAGAACAGAAATTAAAGGTTTACTTGGTCTGTAGACAAGCTGATTTCCCTATTGCCAAAAGGAGGAAGACATGCTCCCTCAGCTTGGACTGGATAATCCTGCTGCCTTCTGATTACAGGTTCTGGTACTTCTCAGGCTTTGTCATGCATTGATTTAGCAAGCAAAATTGGTTCATCAGTCTGCTGGAATTCTTTTATATTTTATCGGCTCAAAGAAGGATCAAAGAAGTCCCAGAGCCAGCTGAAAGTAAGCACCAGAAACATTCAGTCAGAGGTAGGAATTCTCTGTTCCTGGCAGTGAGTGTGAGTAATACAATAAGCTCATTGCATCTTGAGGATTTGTCGCTGAAGAGCTCATTTAGCCACGTTCTGAATGAGTGGGCAGCTGAGTTTATGACAAGCCATGTAGAAAGGAGAGGAGACATATTTTGCTGAAGTCTGTTTTAGCTGTTAGTCATTTAAGATGGTCTGGAAGATGTTTGGAACAGTTTGAAATAATTTTACCAATTGCGTCATCAAAGATGCTCACATTCTACACATATAAGGAAGAAATCTAATGTACAGCTATCTCCCTTTTGTTTTAAACTAAAAAATACTTGTTGGTGCTCTTTGTCTTTTTGATACAGTAGAGATGAAAATGGCTGTGCAAATGGGGTGTGTATTGCTTCAGAGAGACAGGCTGGCTTGTGACTAAGACTTGTATTTGCAAAGGGAACTTTAGTATCAAGTGCCTTGAGTTCAGATGCAGCTGTCACACTGTACAAAACATCTATTATTTCTGTTTCAATTTCTTGTGTATGAGTTACGAGAAGCTTTTCACATAAAACTAATTGTGAAGATAAGTTTAGTAATGAATATGGAGTACTCAAATGTTGTGTTGCATTATGTTACGAGAAATGGTTTCTCCCTGTTGTCCGCCCTCTGTATCGGTGATGTGTTGGTTCCTTCCCCCTCACTCTTCCCCTTCAGTCTCTCCCCGTTGTCAGTAACCTGCCTTCCCCCGCCCGCTTTCCCTCTGTTCAAAAGTTGGGCGCGAGCAATTCTCCGTCTCTTTCTGCCCTGGACTCGTTCGGATTAAAACTGGGACACTGTTCCGGGAAGAGAGAGCTTCCTTTGTCTTTTATCTCTGTCCTCGCCGATTTTCCCTCTCCACCCCGGGTGGACTGCAGCTAGCCGGAAGAATTCTTGGGGTTGGGAGCGAGGGAAATTTGGCACTCAGATAACTGCGGCAATGAGCTTACTGAAAAAAAATCCAGTATGTAATCTTGTTAAAGAGTATGTTTGTTAAGCATTATTGTGTAGGTCTTTATATGTATCTGTTAAAGCAGCCCTTTCTAAGTAACTGCATGTCAAGATTTTGAACACAATCTGGGCAATTTAAGTACATGCCATTTTCCAACAGTGAAAAGTGTATTAAATCACTAAGATCCATATCCATTTAAATATCTCCACTTGGGTGTTAATGTACTCTTAATTGCATAAAGGTCATGTGTGATCAGTAGTTCAAAGAGGGCAAAGTTTGTTTTACAGCTTGATAGAAGGACCTTATAGTACTAAAGGGATTTTATTTTCATGTTTAAGTCATCTCTGACCTTAATTTTGTTGCTATTGGTAGTTAGTAGATAGTGAATTTTTATTCTTACAATTTTATGTTTCATTTGAGACTTACTTCTTTTAGGAAAATAGCCAATATAAAATAAATAGTAACAAACCCTTTGTTGTTTTCATTCTGATGTGTCAGAATAAAATACGGATTTATATGGCTATATATTGTACTAATTTAGCAAACTGGAGGAAAATGGAAATGTTTACATCTACTGTTGATGGGCTAAGGAATATAGAAAAAAACTTAAAATTTTAAACTTCAAATCAGTGGAAAAGCAGATTTACTGAGCAATGTTAGAAGGTTGAAAAGATTACATAGATATATCTTGCACATCCTTAGGCAGGAGAAGTGCAAGAGGCACCTGTGATGCACAGGACATTTGGAAGGTCCCACTTAATAGGCTTAATCATGGTCTATATCTCCAAAGGCTTGTTCCCAGCCAGGAACTGGCACAGAGGCCAGCTTGGCAGGAAGAACCCCTGTGCATGCTGTGCTTTCCAAAACAGAGCTCGGAGACTCTGTGGCTCAGGAGTCATTTATTGCCCTCCTAACTTTGTTACCATATCCAGGAATTACTGGAAGGGGAGGGACGATGTTGTTATTAGGCATATTCCAAAAATGTATTGA